AACCCGTCCAGAGGACCTATACAATTTTTTTTTCCTTTTGATTTTTTACCTGGATTACTGAGATGCATCAGGATACATTCAATAACCAAAAAACAGCAGAAGAACTTCAGTTTTATGGACCACTTTTTATCAAATACTGCTAAATTATTTTATTTGGTTTTAAAGAGAGTAATCGCCACTGCTTTAGATTAGATTGTTTAATTCTCATTAATTTCTTACCAGCTGTTTTGTTATTCTTGAGTCCAAAAGTCACCTTCTTTGAGTCTGACATGGAAGTAAGTATTTTCTGTGGAAACAACACACACACACGCACACACAGATCAAAGCTTTATCCTGCAGCAATCAACATTAAAAATCTGTCCTTACGTCACAGATTGCGGTTTGTTTACTTCTTTAAGAGTTTAAATCAATCGGGCAAATAGTCTTACTTTCTGCAGGTTGAAGATAGTTCATATTTCATTTAAAGGAGCTTTTAAAATTCAAATGATAATTGCAAAGTTTTAACCTTGAAACAGCACAGAGCTGATTTATTTTTCAAAACTGAAATAATATGCAAATTTGAAATCTCCATGAACAAGCTTAAAAAAACAAAGTATTTAATTGACCGCTCTACCACAGATTACACCTTGAGGAAGCCCATTCATCCATGGRTTTTCAAAATCCACAAAGAAAGAAAACCACTGATCCATTGTCAGCAGAATAAACTCAGTGACATACATAATAATGCTTTATGTTGCTGATGTTTTAGCTTTTCTTATAAGAAAACTCTGTATCACATGGGAATTCCATAGACTTCTCTAAAGTCTGACATGTTGGCTGAAAGGAACACTTCTATTTTTCATGTCACCTCACTTCTATACCTACACCAGAAGAAAACAGACAAACTTGTCCTTTTAAACCTTCCCATGTCCTGAATGACTGAAAATTCACTCARATATTTATTTACCTTCTTGGTGGACATTGGGGTACTGGGGCTCCTGTTGGTCTTACAGAACAGAGGCGTTGGGACTGGAGATTCAGTCTGAAAGGTGATAAAGTCRGATTCAGATTCTTTGATACTCCTCTTCTTCTTTAGTGAATTTTCTAGATTTGAAGGAGTGGATGGCTGGCTGACATTCTGAAACACACAACAGAAAATCAATCTTTCACCTATGTTTATATTGCTTAGATAAATTATATAAGTCAAATTATTAACTTAGATCAGGGATGCCCAAACATTTTCCTTGAAAAGGCCAAAATTAAAATCAATCTGAGGTCCGCGCGCCAAATGCAGTAATATAATACATGAAATTCAAATATTTCTTAAGTAAAGTTGTTTTATTTTTATGAATAAGCTAGCAGCCAATGCGATGGCCCACATTCTTCTTTTTATCAGCCCATGGACATGGAGAAAATTCAACATATGCTTGGGCAGCAAAGGTTCATGGGACTTATCATAAATTAAAATTATATGCATTCTTACAAGGTGTGCAAATCTAATCTAAATGTCTCTTGTAGTTATTTGTATTTTATGTTTAATCTTAACATAATTCAAAAATAAAGTGAGTACCATGAGTACTCAAGAGGTTAAGATTATCTGACTTCAGCTCCTTGTACCTACAGTTGGACCAATGGTTGAAAAGTAGAAATATAGTGTTTCGACACAGGACAGGAGATTACAATCTAATAACCAGGACAATCAAATGGCTTGGTGGGCCAGTTTTGGGTTTGAATTGAATTGAAAGAAGTTCCTGTTTCACAGCAATGCTGAGAAACTGGTTCTTGCCTTTGTCACACGTAGACTTTACTGTAGTAAAATCCTTACTGAGTATCCAGAAGGCTCTCTAAAAACCCAACAGGTGGGTCTAACTGGTTCCATAAGGAGAGATCACCAGTCTCAGCATCTACACTCTCAAAATAAAAGTGAATCTTCCCAGAGAATCAGAAAGTCCAGATTTGAAGGCAAAACATGTTACCGTATCAGGCTCGTGTCCTGTGAAACCAGATCCCAGTTTGGGTCTTTTTACTCTACCATTAGACTTTACTTTCTTTTTATATTTTTGACTGCTATTTAAAAATTTTAGATTGTTTTCTTCATCAACTTTTGCTCTATTTTTCTAATTCAATTGACTTGCCACCTAATTCAACTTGGTTCTGTGA